GCAGGTATATTCAAGTTAAAATGAGATCATGCTCTATTAGGGCAGGCCTTATTCAATCCTAATTAGAATTATTGAGGATTAGAACACATTCTCAAATCAGGGAAGGGGCATTAGGTCTAGGGGACAAGCAGACCGGAGAAGTGGTTCAAAAAGTAATATTCCACATGGCCATCATTTTCATTAACCAAACTGCAGGCAATGAGGCTTAGTCAACCTTGGCTGGTAGGAATAGACAGGCTTATGAGAAGACAGAAATTTGAACACAGAGAGAGATACACACACACAGCGAAACCCCATGTGGAGACAGAGGCAGAGATTAGACTGTGGAGGAACGCCAAGGATTTCAGGCGTCCCCCCAGAAGCTGGAAAAGGCAAGGAGGGATTCTCCCCTAGAACCTTCAGAGGGAACACAATGCTGCCAACAATTTCATTTTGGATTTCTAGCCTCTCGAGCCATGAGGTCAAATGTTTCAGCTGTTTTAAGCCACCTTGTTTGTGGCACTGGTTAGGCCCTCGGCCAGTGTCCACCGTGACGATGGAATGTGAAGATAAATAAGACACAATTCCTGTCATCACAGTGGCCATCATCTAGAAGACACAGCTGTGGGCATTTTCAAATTACAGATTTTTAGTGTGTCATAAGTGTGAATCTAGAACTCTGTCCACACGATAGAGACAACGCAAAAGAGGGGGTAACTAACACACTGGAAATAGACAGGAAAAGCTTTGCGAAAAAAGAAAAAAAAAAATTTAAGGGAATCTCGCTGTCACCCAGGCTGAAGTGCAATAACCCAGTCTCTGCTCACTACAACCTCCGCCTCCCAGGTTCTAGAGATTCTCCTGCCTCAGCCTCCCGAGTAGCTGGGACTACAGGCATGTGCCACCACGCCCAGCTAAGTTTTGTATTTTTAGTAGAGACGGGGTTTTGCCATGTTGGTCAGGCTGATCTTGAAATGCTGACCTCAGGTGATCCAGCCGCCTTGGCCTCCCAAAGTGCTCGGATTATAAGCATGTGCCAACGTTCCTGGTCAAAAGATGAATTTTTACAATTTTTAATTTTTCTTTCTTTTATTTTTTTTTTTTTTAGAAATAGGATCTCACTCTGTCACCCAAGCTGGAGGGCAGTAGTGCCATCATGGCTCACTGTAATCTTGAACTCCTGGGCTCAAGTGATTGGAACTACAGCCATGTGCCACCATGCCCAGCTAACTTTAAAAAAATTTTTTGTAGGGATGATGTCTTGCTATGTTGCCCAGGCTGGTCTTGAACTACTGGTCTCAAGTGATTCTTCCACCTTGGCCGTCTGAAGTGCCGGGATTATAGGCATGAACCTCAGCCTCATTGTGAACTACCTTTTTATGCTGCTTGCTAATTATTCTTGATGGGGTTGTTTACTGTTTTGGATCAGTTTGTAAGAGTGTTTTGAATATTAGCAGTATTCATAGTATATTTAGGTCTATCAATTTTCATTTTACGTTTTCATTGACTTTTTTAAGAGACAGGGCCTCACCATGTTGGCCAGGCTGGTCTCACACTCCTGGCCTCAAATGATCCTCCTACCTCAGCCTCCCAAATTACTGAGATTACAGGTGTGAGCCACCATGCCCAGCTGACTATTTTTGTTCTATTTTTTGTCACATGACATTTTGGGGTTGTATGTAGTCAAATATGTCTATCTCTTTTTTTAAATAGCTTCTGATTTCTAGTATTTGATAAGAGAATCTCCTCTGCCTATTACGTGTAGTCTCCTAGATTTTCTCAAAGGATTTATATATTTTTATTTTTTTTACATTTCAGTTGAGATCTATCTTGTATTAATTTTTACATCTAACAAAAAACAGGGGCTGAAATTATTTTATTTTTTAATAGATTTCCTTTCCTCACTGATTTGAGCTACTCCCGTGGCTATATACTAAATTCTCACATGCACTGTGATTACTGTGACTCATTTCTAGATTCTCTATTTTCTCTATTCATTTCCACTGTTTTTTTTTTCTTTTTTCTTTCTTTCTTTCTTTCTTTGATGGTGATGGTGAGTCTATTCCTAGCCTACTCCCAATTTGATTTGCTTACCATGACCTCCAGTTTCCTCTCAAGCAAGAATCCCTCACAGCCTTCTTTTGCATATTTTTCTTGGTTCTTGGCATTTGGGATTCATCTTTCCACATAAACCTCAAGGCTAAGGGCCTCAGGTGATGGTCCAGGTCTAGCTCAGCAGGAGTGGAATCACATGCCCAGGGAGGAAAGTCAGCTTTGCTCCTCCTTTTTAAACCTAAACACCAAAGTTCTTATTTCCATAACCACTTCCATGTTGAAGAGCCTGATTGCTCTCAGGGTGTCTCAGACCCTTGCAACAGAAGAGGTCTGATTACTTCGCTTGAAAGAAGTTGAAGGGTGATTACTCTCTAAGTCAAGAACGTGATTTACACTCCTGGGGTGAACAGAGTGAAATACACAGAGGCATCCTAGAACAGCAGAAAAGAACACACATACATACACATACACGTGGGGGCACACACACACACACACACACACATTTTTAATCTCTGCTATCATATTAAGGAAGTTGGATTTTATCCTGCAGGTATTTAGTTAGCCATTTAAAAGTTTCAGGCAAAAGAGTCACAGATCAGTTTGGCAGCGGTGATGAGGATGGAGTCATGGGAGAAGCAACCGGAGGCCCAGTCAGGCTGGCGTAGCGACAGGCCAGGCAAAGGGGTAAAGATCTAGAATAAGGTCGTTGTCAGGGACAGAGAGAAGCAGACAGATTTGAAAACATCCTATTGTAGAATTGTCAGGATCAGTAAAAGATTTGATATTAGGTTAAATAATAATCCAGCAAGACTGCCCGATTTCTAGCCTGGTTGATGGAGGTGACAGTAATACAGCTAAGTGACACAGGAAACAGGGGAAGAGGAGACCTGGGTGGCAATATAGATAATAAACTTAGTTTGGGATGTGTTGAGTTTGAAGGGCTGTGAGATATTCAAGTGGAGATACTCAGTGGACATAAAGATACTATTGGGGTTGGAGCTAAGGGGAGCTCGAGATTGGACAAATGTTGTTTTTTGTTGTTTTTTTGTTTTGAGACAGAGTCTCGCTCTGTCGCGCAGGCCAGAGTGCAGTGGCACGATCTCGGCTCACTGCAACCTCCACCTCCCTGGTTCAAGCAATTCCCCTGCCTCAGCCTCCTGAGTATCTGGGATTATAGGCACACAACACCATGCCCAGCTAATTTTTTTGTATTTTTAGTAGAGACAAGGTTTCATCATGTTGACTAGACTGGTCTCAAATTCCTGACTGCAGGCAATCCACCTGCCTCAGCCTCCCAAAGTGCTAGGACTACAGGAGTGAGCCACTGTGCTTGGCAGGACAAATGGTTTTGAGAACCTTCAGGACATACATAATCATCAGGAGACCTGAGGATGCAACATGGAGGGACACCAACATTGACCAGAATAGGAGGAGTTGGAGTCAGCCAAGTGTTCTGAGAATGCACCATTTAAGAAGCAGAAAGGAGTAACACAGGCTGGGAGCAGTGGCTCACACTTGTAATTCCAGCACTTTGGGAGGCAGAGGCGAGAGGATCACCTGAGGTCAGGAGTTCGAGACCAGCCTGGCCAACACGGTGAAACCCCATCTCTACTAAAAATACAAAAATTAGCGGGATGTGGTGGCAGGCACCTGTAATCCCAGCTACTCAGGAGGCTGAGTCAGGATAATCGCTTGAACCCAGGAGGTAGAGGTTGCAGTGAGCCAAGATCGTGTCACTGCACTCCCGCCTGGGGAATAGAGTGAGACTCAGTCTCAAAAAAAAAAAAAAAAAAAAAAAAAAGGGGCGGGGGGGGGGGGGGGGGGGGAAAAGGAGGGAAGACAGAAGTGTTTAAGTAAGGAGAAAGCAGTCAGCTGTGCTGAAGGCAGCAGAGAGGCCTCAGAGGTATCCAGTGGATTTGCAATTACCGAGTCCATGGTGAACTTGGTCAGAGCAGTTCCAGTTGACGGGAGAGAAAATAAATCAGGTTTTAAACACAGAATGAGGACAAAGAATGAGGGAATGTGTCAGATGTGTTCCGTTTGTCCCTCCAGATTCACACTCAATGCTTTTCCACTCTGCTCTCTGTCCTGGGCACATAGGCAGCACCAACAGATGCCCATGACTGTTGACGTTGGCCAACGGGGGTGACCCCTGGGAGAAAGCTGGAGGGAAGGAGGGTGAGATGGGATATATATCCCCCAACTCCTTTCCTAAGGCGCCTGCTCCATTTGCTCAACCAGAGGTCCTGACTCTCCTCCTGGGTCCAGGTAACCACTCCCTCCTACCTCCTCTCAGGCCTGATGGAGTTTTGTTCTTGTTGCCCAGGCTGGAGTGCAATGGTACAATCTTGGCTCACCGCAACCTCCGCCTCCCGGGTTCAAGCGATTCTCCTGCCTCAGCCTCCCAAGTAGCTGGGATTACAGGCGTGCGCCACCATGCTCAGCTAATTTTGTATTTTTAGTAGAGATGAGATTTCTCCATGTTGGTCAGGCTGGTCTCGAACTCCTAACCTCAAGTGATCCACCTGCCTCGGCCTCCCAAAGTGCTAGGATTATAGGCGTGAGCCACGGCGACCGGCCAGGCCTTAGGTTTTCTACTGCCCCTGGTGTTTCTCTGAAACCTGCCCACACCTTTGCAGACAGTCCTTTATTCCACCTTCCTCAAATGATCTTCAGATGAACACACCGTCTGTGTTCTGCTGGAACCCTGAATGATGCAGGAAGGAACCTGGACTGAGAAGAGTAGAGAAACAGAAATACACAAGGGCAAAAGAGGTTTTTGTCCCAGCGTTTTATTTTTTAAGGGTTGGAGTGGCTTGGATATATTGATAAGCTCATGAAGTTTTAAGAGTCAGGTCTTATTTAAAAGGTGTCATCTGAGAGGAAGGGAGAAATAGGCAGAGAGTCCTTTGCTCTCTGGAGTTGGTGACATGACCAGTGGCCTCACCGTGATTGTTTCAGATGCTCTAGAACTTGTGTTTCCAGTTCATCCAGGACAGTCCCGTCGCCAGGTTTGCCCGTGGCTGCGTGGGTAAAGCATTGGTCTGAGCTTTGAGCTGACGGAAAAGGAAACACAGAGGCTAAAGAAAAAGAACAAAGGTCAGGACCTCAACAAACCCGGAACACCTCAGTGCACTGAGGCAGTCTGACAACAAACAAAGTACTGGTGCTTTCTCAAACTTTGCAAGACTCTGCACCGCCCAGCCCGGCTCACCTTGCCAATCTCCTGTCTTACGTCTCTGGAGTCACTGGTTTGATTTCACTGCTCTGCCTCAGGGGCCTCCTTTCCCTTTCTCCAGCGTCAGGAGCCCCGTTCTGCCCTAGAGCCTGAGCTCCGACCTGCACCCAGACACTTTCCCCACCTCTAATCCCGGCCAGCTCCGTCTTATCCGAAACACTACTTTGTCCGCAAGCTACCCACCCAACCCAAAGCAGTCTCTTGCCTCCTCTCCAGAGCGCCCTGATTCCTCTTCCATAGCAGCTACCACTTCTTAGAAGGCATGGAGGGGAAGAATTTTATTTAGAAGTCTAATTTTCTGACTTTTTTTGTTTTCGTTTTGACATCTATGTCTTTAATCTGTCTGAAACTTGTTTTTGTATACAGTAATCGATTGTCTCAATAGCTACACCACATTTACCTTCCCGCTTGGGTGTAGTATTTTGTATTTTGTGTTTGTATTTTTACTTGCATTGCTTATCCAGGGAACTCTGTACCAAAGCAGGGCTAAGAGCAGTCGAATGAAGCATCCCTTCTATTTTTCCCCTTTTCTGTTTTCTTTTGTGTCAGAAATAGTTTACCTTTTCTCGTTTCCTTTTTCAGTTTAGAAGACACAACTAATATTTCCATACATTTAATGCCGTTCCTTAAATTTTTGCATCTATTCAAATAAAATACATTTTACTGATGTTAAAATTAATTTGTAGCTGGGCTGATGGCTCATGCCTGTAATCCCAGCACTTTGGGAGACCGAGGCAGGTGGATCACTTGAGGTCAGAAGTTTGAGACCAGTCTGGCCAACATGCCGAAAAACCTTTTCTATGAAAAATACAAAAATTAGCCAGGCATAGTGACATGCGCCTGTAATCCCAGCTACTTGGAAGGTTGAGGCACAAAAATTTCTTGAACCCAGGAGGCAGAGGTTGCAGTGAGCCAAGATCACCCCACTGCAAAGACACTATGTCAAAAAAAATAATAATAATAATTTGTTAACTAGACAAAGACCTTAGCATGGTGTAGGTTCCATTTTACCTTTCCCTTCTTAATTTCCATATAATTAGATAGAGTTTTTGTTCTACCTTATATGAAACTTGTCTTTTTATTATTAATAATGCTATTGCAATAATTACACAAATTATATTTTATTGATGTCCTTCTCATTGTTGCTTCTGTATTTTTCTTTTTTCCATCAAGTTCACTTTTCTTCTTGTTGAAGTTATACAGTTATTTAAATTAAGGGTCAAGGGTGGGGGCAAGGTAAGTATTGTTATTTTTTGTACGTCCACCTTTTTTGCAACTATGTATAGTTCAGCTGGGTGTTCAAATTTTATATTGACAGTCAGTTTTCTTTGGCATTTTGAAGATATTACTCCATGTTTCTTGGCTTCTATTGTTGCAGATGAGAAGTCTGTTGCCAACTCAATTGCTGTTAGTTTGACGGCAGTCTGTTGCATAATGTAGGAGCATTTTCATGGTCAGCATTTCTGTAGTGTTTTGTTGGACTCTCTCACAGCTCTTCCTTTCACTCGCTCATTCATTCAACAATTGTTTACTGGCTAATGATCGTGTACTAGGCCTGTTATTGTGCACAATGACAGAGAGCATAATGACAGAGCTTCTGGGCCCCAGGCCTGGAGAAGGTCTGAATATACTTGGAGAAATAGACATGAAAATAAAGAAATGACAGTATAACAAGATAAAAGCTATAATGACGCAGGCTGATAGTGAGTTTCTACAACTCTGCCAAGGAGTGTGTTTTTATTCAATTGAGTTTCTCACAGTTTGTAGTACCATGTCTTACCCACTGAAATCACTTAAAAATACTTTAACAATTAGCCTGAGTATAACTTTTAAAAATATTTTTCATTTTACAATTATTTTAGCTTTCACTTTTCTCCAGTTTCAGATGTATGGTCGACTATTTGCTAGCTATTTTCACAGGGATTTCCTATGAGAATTTCCAACTCAAGATGCCTTACAAAGAATTATTTCCTCCAATACCTGGTTCTCTTTTACTCTTCACCTGAATTGTCTGTGTTATTCTTAATTCCATCCTCTCCCTAAGCCCATGTCCAACCAGCCTGTCTATTATAGGTTATAAATATTTTGTGATCTGTCATCTTTTCCATTTTCTTATTCCCACCATCTGGGGTCAAGGCTTCAATGTCACTTCCCTAAACTGGTTAAAAAAAAAAAAAGAAAAGAAAAATCCCAACAGATCTCCCTGAATTGGCTTTCTATTGCTTGTGTAACAAATTACCATGCATTTGGTGTCTTAAAACAAACCACATTTATTATCTTAGAGTTTGGGAGGGTCAGAAGTCTGGAATGGATCTCACTGGGCTACACTTCAGATTTCAGCAGGGCTGCTTTCCTTCCAGAGGCTCTCGGGGACAGTCCGTTTCTTTGACTTTTCCGATGTCTAGAAGCTGCTGCTCACACTGTTGGTTCATAGCTCTTTTCCTCCATTTTTCAAAGTCAGCAACATTGGCCGAGTCCTTCTCATGATACCATCTCTTTCGTTCTCACTTTTCTGCCTCCCTTTTCTACTTAGAAGAATCCTTATCCATCTGGATAATTTATCATTATCTCCCTACCTCAAAGTGAGTTGATTAGCAACCTTAATTCCTCATTGCCAGATACTTAGCACACTGGCCAGTTCTTCACATTAGTGCTTGGACATCATTGGGGGACCATTATTCTGCCTACCATAGGTTCAATACAAATTGAAGAACTCATACCGGTAATTCCAGAGCCTTTGGGAGGCTGAGGTGGGAGGATCACTTGAGGCCAGGAGTTCAAGGCCAGCCACGGCAGCAAAGTGAGGCCTTATCTCTACAAAAAATTATTTAAAAATTGAATACTGGCTGGGCAGGTGGCTCACACCTGTAATCCCAGCACTTTGGGAGGCTGAATGGGAGGATTCCTTGAGCCTAGGAGTTCGAGGTGGTCTCGAACCTGAGCAACATAGTAAAACCCTATCTCTATAAAAAAATTAAAAAGCCAGGTGTAGTGGTGCATGCCTATAGTCCCAGCTACTTGGGAGGCTGAGGTGGGAGGATTGATTGAGCCCAGGAGTTCTGGGCTGTAGTGCGCTATGCCGATTGGGTGTCCACCCTAAGTTCAGCGTCAATGTGGTAACCTCCCGGGAGTGGGAAACCACCAGGTTGCCTAAGGAGGGGCGAATCGGCCCAGGTTGGAAACGGAGCAGGTCAAAACTCCCGTGCTGATCAGTAGTGGGATCACGCCTGTGAATAGCCACTGCAGCCGGGGCAACATAGTGAAACCCCATCTCTAAAAAATAAAAAATTAAAAAAATATTTTTTTAATGAAAAAAATTAGCCAGGGGCAGTGGTGCATGCATGTAGTCCCAGCTACTCAGAAGGCTGAGATGGGAGGATGACGTGAGCCCAGGAAGTCCAGGCTTCAGTGAGCCATGATTGCGTCAGTGCACTCCAACCTGGATGACAGAGCAAGACCCCATCTCAAAAATAAAAATAAAATTGAATGCCAGGTGCAGTGCCTCATGCTTGAAATCCCACTGCTTTCAGAGGCTGAGGCGGTAGGTTAGCTTAAAGCCATAAGTTCAAGACCAACCTGAACAACAAAGCAAGACCCTGTCTCTACACAAAACATTTTTTAGGCCAGGCATCGTGGCTCATGCCTGTAATCCCAGCGCCTTGGGAACCCAAGGTGAACAGATCACTGGAGGTCAGGAGTTTGAGATCAGCCTGGCCAACATGGTGAAACCTTATATCTAGTAAAAGTACAAAAATTAGCTGGGCATGGTGGTGGGTGCCTGTAATCCCAGCTACTCAGGAGGCTGAGGTTGGAGAATTGCTTGAACTCTGGAGGCAGAGGTTTCAGTGAGCTGAGATTGCACCTCTGCACTCCAACCTGGGTGACAGAACAAGATTCCTTCTCAAACAAAATATGTATATATATATATATATATATATATATGTATGGATATATTTAATTAGCCAAACATGGCAGTACATTCCTGTAGTCTCAGCTATTAGAGAGGTTGAGGTGGGAAGATTACTTGAGCCCAAGAGTTTGAGGCTTCACAGAGCTCTGATCACACCATCGCGCTCTATTCTGGACAACAGAGGGAGAACCTGTCTCAAAAAAAAAAAAAAATCAAAGTAAATTACATGTTCATAAAAAGGGAATGATTTAGTAAATTATGGGAGAGCCATTCTCAAGAATATGTAGCAATTTAAAAATGTGTAAATACTAGCTGGGCGTGGTGGCTCAGGCCTGTAATCCCAGCACTTTGGGAGGCCGAGGCCGGGGGACCATTTGAGGGTGGGAGTTCGAGACCAGCTCTGGTCAACAAGGTGAAACCCCCTCTCTACTAAAAGTACAAAAATTAGCCAGGCCTGGTGTTACACGGCCTGTAATCCTAGCTACTCAGGAGGCCAAGGCAGGAGAATGGCTTGAACCTAGAGGAGGATCTGCAGTGAGCCAAGATTGAGCCACTGAACTCCCTCCTAGGCCATGGAGCAAGACTCTGTCTCAAAAAGTAAATAAATAAATAAATAAACATAAATAGCAGGACAAAATCGTAAATAGATAATGACTATAATTATAGCAAAGAAACTAGACACATAAATATGATTGAAGGAAATTAATCGTAAATGAGTAGTTGTTATTGCTGTGATTGCGGAGGGTGGGTAATTGTAATTCTTTCATACCCTGCCCTTACTGTAGTGTGGCTGGATCACCGAGGCAGGAACTGCTTGTTATCTACTCAATATCTACTCTCTCCTTCCTTCTAATAAAGATAACACTGATTATCTTTGGGAAGGTAAAACTATTCCAAGATTTTCTTGC